AACCCTAAGCCCTAAACCCTAAGGCATGCGGCTTAGCGTTCGCAACAAGAGCCGGCCTTGGAGAGCATCCGCGGCATCCCGGGATGCCCTGGGAAGTGCAAGGTCTGCTGAGTCAGCGTTTAGGGTTTAGGGTTTAACAACAATAACAATCGTAATGATAAACGTTGCTAAAATAGGAATATTGACAATAACCATAGCAGCAATAATAGGGCTTGGGCGGTATATTGTACTCTAGTCATTGTAATAAGGAGCCTCATTCGGGCTTCAATATTACGCTGCAGTCTCGATACAAAGGAATCGAAGCCTTGGGGCTTCGGCTTACGCCCCAAAAAAACGAAGTTTTGAAGCTTGTGGTTTCAAAAAAAACCGCGGCACTACATGAAGCTCCAGGAGACTCCGAATGCCCAAAGCCTCCCTTAAGTTGCTGATGGGATTTCTTCAAGGTTGATGCTGATCCTCTCCCAGCTTTCGAGTTGAAGGGCTGAGCTTTATGAATGTGCGTTTGTCTACCGGCGTGCCGGTAGGCAAGTAGGTAGGCAGGCAGGGAGGGAGAGCGCCCAGGCTTTAGGATTCGTGTGCTGGGACGTGGATGGAGGGGCTTCTTTGGGGTTTAGGGCTTTAGGGGCCGGGGTTCAGCACTCAGAGGGGTCGCGGGAGAGTTCCGACCTTGGGGCTATGGCCGGCAGTACGGCACACCGAGGAAATACGGGAGGAGATGCTGCTCGAAAGTATGCCTTACAGCCTACTGAAGCATATTATATATATATATATATATGTATCTGTATGTGTATATATATATATATACACACAACTTGTTGTGTAGTCATTTGTAGCTATTTCATATTTGCTTAAACGTAATCATCTGTTTGCACTCATCTCGATTTATTTGCTTATCTAGTTATTTAATTATATGCGCATGCATACTCCAAAATATAACCCCCATTTTACGATGCTAAGTTAGAACTCAACCGTCCTAAACCCTAAACCCTCAAGCCTAAACCCTAAAATCTAAACCCCGAAAGCCTAAGCCGCAGCCCTCAACCCTAAACCCCAAAGGCCTAAAGCCCTCAGTCGGCCAGTCTAAAATCGTAAACCCTACACTCCAAAACCTCCAACACTTCGAAAAGCCGTGGTAAAACCCATAACTCCCATTAAAGCCTCTCAAACCCTAACACCTAAAACTCCAAGACACCCTAAACCCTAACACCGCTACAATCCTAAACCCTGAACCCTACCAGAACTCCCAAAACCCTCACACTAAAACTCCTAGAAGCCCTAAACTCTGTACCCTGGAACTCCCCAACACCTCACCCCAACACTCCTAAACCCCCTGAACCCTGCAGCTCCTGAAATCCTAAACCTTGCAGCCATACCTCCTGAAAGCCAGAAATACAGGCGAGAACTCCTAAAGCAAACCTAAAGACTCCTACACACCCCGAACCCGAAAACTGATAACACCCCTAAACCCTAAAAACTCCTAAAAAACTCGAAACCCTTGAAAACTCGCGAGAGCCGCTGCTCTTGGTCGAACCGTAGGATGACGGAGGTGGTCTTCGGGATATCGCCAGGAGTTGGCCTTGGGAAGTTTGGGGGGGCTCTCTAGGCTACCTTTAGGATTCTTGTATCGGTTTAGGGTTTTTTTTAAAGGGTTTAGGGTTTAGGGGTTTAGGGTTTAGGGTTTAGAGTTTAGGGTCTAGGTTTAGGGTTCAGGGTTATAAGGGTGTCTGTTAAGGGTGTACTTTCAGGATGTCCCATCGGTGTATCCTACAAGGGTTCCTTTAAGAGTTTGGCTCATGGTTAGGATTCAGCCCTAAACCCTCAATACCCTAAACCAAAATAGCCCTAATTGGGTTTCAAGTGAAACGCCTGGGGTTCGGGGCCTGGCGTAGTGCTTCGGGTTCGGAATGGGGCTCGGGGCTTGGGATTTCAGGTCTAGAGCTGGGCTTAGGGCTCAAGGCTTAACTTTTTGAAGCTTTCAGGCTTCTTTTAAATGTGGAGGGAAGTGACTGCGACTCCTACGTCTACTACGACGACGACTCCGACTGCGACTACGACTACGACTACTCGTTCTACTTCGTTGTTGACTTCCTCTGCTGCTGCGACGACGACGGCGACAACACCTAATCGTTGAAGTTACTTCCACTCATGCTACGGCATGTATTCTCAATACGTCAATACCATTGCTAATTAGCCAATTCCTCCAGACGAACCCAGAACCACAGGTTGAACCGTCACTCCACTCCCGAGCCGGAACTTTGGTTCTTATGACAAGACCTCCAAACTTTAGATCGGAACATTTGGGGTATCTACTTCCTGGGTCCGGAACCCAAACCTTGCATTTTAGGGCCGGGGCTGAAGTTCGAAATCCTGGAGCCCTGAAGCCTACACCCTTGTCTTCTCTGCAAACCAAAGTAGGTCCCAAACGCTCAGAAAACCCGAAGCCCTAAACCCAAACCCTCAGACCTGAAGCCCAAAGCACCACGCCTAAACTGTCTTGCCCCGGGGCCGAGTAAGCTTCATCGACTGGTCCTTCGGCAAGCCGTACCCGTTCAGCAATTCCTGAGCAGGTTTAGGCAGATTCAAAGCCCGAACCCAAAACCCCGACATTCCCACTCGGGTCCCTGGGGCATATTGAAGGCGTAAGCCCTAAACCCTAACAGGAAATGGTTTGGGCGGTTGCCTGTGGTATCATCACAACAGGCGGGTGAAAATAACTTCCGGTTGCACCGAGTTCTACCCCAGCACAGAAGAGAGTCGCTTGACGCCAAATCTGCTGCCACCCACAAACCCTGGTGTGAGGTGGCGCCATCTTGGCATGGACTATCGGCCATGCACAAGAAGACGCCCTGAACCCTCAAACCCAAGGCCTAGCTCCCCCAAGCCCTAACTCCCAAATTTGCATTCAGAGGTGTTTTAGGCTGTAGCTTCTGTTGCGGTTTCAGGGAGTGCAGTCATCGATGGATTGAAGCTTCGAAGCTAGGCTCGGGATGTCTTGGGGAACAACAACTGGCAATAATAAGAATAACAATTGCCATAACTATACTTTGAAAATACGAATAACGAGATGAAGAACATAATACGGCTGAGAATCAAAATACGAACCAGAATGAGAGTAGTAATACTGATAACTGATAACAATACCAATAAGAATGATAGCAAAAAAAGTGATAACCTTACTAACAACCAAATGTCAAAAACAAATACGATAATGATCGTTATAATGATAGTAAGCATGTTGGTCACAACACTAATTAACATCATGGCCATGACCTAACATGTAACTATAACATAACTATAACCCTGTCTCCGCCCAGTCACTCGGACCATTGTCTCGTCGTAGGTCTCCGGGATGTTCCGGACCCTGCGACGCGAAACTGCTGTGTTATTTTTGCCAAAGGGGGTGGGGGAAGCTCCGGGGAAGTGGGCAACAACACCCCTGAACAGCTTCTGCACGGTTAGACTATAACAAAGAACTTCACATACCATGTGGAACAGCATTCAAATTAAACGGCCCCAATGTTACGACTAACCTTGTGCGGGTGCACGTGGCTGCAAGACAACAGGGCGTCTAACAAGCGGAAGCCACATCATCAGACGCTGACCCGGAAAAAAAAACATAATCCGAAATTCGAAGGCCATTCCTCATAATGAAACCCTGATCAGGTCTGAGACCTAAACCCCGAGCCCAAAGCGCAAACCCTTAACCTTACACCCTCAACCCAGATCCCTAGACGCTGAATCCACAACCGCGTTTACCTTAAGCCTGAAACCCGACTAAGATTAGGCAAACCCAAAGCCCGAAACCATAAACCCTAAACCCTAAAGCCCTAAAGCCCTAAACCCTAAACCCCTAAACCCCTCAAACCCTTAAACCCCTTAAGCCCTGAACCCTAAACCCCAAAGCACCGCGAACAGCAGGGCCTGGCTAACCAAAGGTCCGGTGGATGGCTCCAGCGTGGCCTGCGGCATGCCACCCAAAGCAGTTGCTTGAGATCTACGGAATTGGGGCTGCTGTTTAGGGTTTAGGGTTTAGGGTTTAGGGTTTAGGGAAGTTGCTTGAGATCACAGGGTTTAGGGCTGCTTAGGGCGTAAGATTTTTGGATTTAGGGCTCAGGGCTTTAAGTTTTAGGATTCAGAGTTCGGGGCTTTAGACTCCAAGCACTAGTACTAGTACTAGAGCTGGTCAGTACCAGTACTAGCACTGGTACTGGTGCTAGTACTACTCCTCCTCCTCCTAAACCCTGCACCCTCAACTCCACCGCCAACCAAAAATCTGAACCTACAGCCCGGACACGGAGCCCCAAACCTTGAACCCCAAATCCAATCCTACACCCTACGCCCCTCAACTCTACAACCGCTACAGCCCGAAAAAAACATGAACCCTCAACACTCAACCCTTAAGCGTCAAACCATGAACTGCAACAATCCGAAATCCTCAGCCCTCCGGCGCCCCTCCTTCGCGGGCTTTCGCTCTCCTCCCGAAGCGGCTTGAACTGCTCCTCAAGCGGCCTAGACCTCGCATGTACAATAGGGACCTTAAGGGTCACAAAGGGCTTGGGGGTAAGGCTTTAGGATTTGCAAGTCTTTAGTGCTTAAGGTGTATGGGGTTTACCATTTTTGTTGAAAGGTTCCTGTGAAGGGCTCCTTCAATGGGTACTAGTAGGGGCTTCTATAAAGGTTCCAGTATGAAGGGGCCTTAGAAATTTCAAGAGGATTTTGGGGTACAGCTAACTAAAAATCCAAAGGTACAAACTGGCATTTATTCACGCTTCTATTAAGAGCGCTCACAAGGTTCTTTATAAGGGCTTGATCTGAAGGCCTCGAAAAGGCATTCGGTTTATGGTTTTGGGGATCAATCTGCAGGACCCTGCACAACCTGTCGTTCTTGGTTTGCGACCCATACAAGCAAAAGTGTTAACCCTTGGAGGGGTGCTGGATGGGACCTAGTGTTTAGAATGAGGTTTCGCTGCATCTCAGACCAAAAATTATGTGCAAGTATACTATACCACAAATTCGACAGGAACTGTGAGGCAACACTGCTGCATATCAACCAAACCCCATATTCTGCTCCGTAGCGCTGGAGGCCTCAAAAGGTGGGAAGAAGGTAGGCAGGATTACGGATCCCTGAGAAAAGGACTCTTATTTTGGGATTACCCCACCTACCTTTATCCCACCTAGGATCCAAGGAAACCAACAAGAGCTTCGAAAGGTCAAGTCGCCGATCAACTCCCGCAAACCGGACAGCACCACCTTGAGGGTCGGCTTCGCCCTAAACCCTAAACCCTGAAAGTCAAACCCTAAACCCTAAACCGGTTATGGGTTAAAGTTCAAGGTTCTCGAGGTTCTGGGGTCTACTGGCAAGGCTCTGAGGGTTTGGGCTTGGGTTATATAAGGTTCAGGTTTTAGGGTGTCTGCGTGCGCGCTCTTCCACAGCAGAGGTGTAGGGTAAGGCCCCCCGGGGCAGAGGTGGTCGGAAGCAGATGTGCAGGAGCCCCACGCAACATGAGCTGAGTGCAACTACATGGCGTACGCTCCCACGGATCAAAACTCCAACACCTTAGGCTCTGGTAAAACAGGCCTCGCAAGATGAATAATTAGGCTTTCTCTTCAAAGTTGCAAGCTTCAGGTTTAGAGACTCGCGCTTCGTAGAACCCAGGTTTTCGTGTTCAATGTTGGACAGCTTCTAGCCGTGGAACCACAAGCCGCCACTGTTCGGATTAGCCTTCAGGATCTGTATACAGACTGCAGATGTTCACCTACAAGCGCCTGAAGTTCCGGGACCCGACGGCAGATGCCGCAACAACCTTTCTACGCTTTCTCGCACGGCAATCGTAGCACCGGCCGAATTCTTTTCAGAAGATTCCGACGCTTTTCCTGCCTTTGCGTCGCCTCCGCGTGCCGCTTGCGCTTTCGACCTCCTGCTTCAGTCGAATCAAATCTTCGTAGCTCGCAGCAGGCATGTTCCATGTGAACGTGACCCCACTCTGCCACAATTTCCTGCAGCAAGTGCTGCGGCAAGCGCTTGCGCAAGGACTGTGTCAGGAGCTGCAATCTCGTCTTCGCGGCAACCTTACCTTTGCATGTTTTCCTTAGACACATTCAATTTTACGTGTGTGGCGTGCAACAGCCCGCCTCACAACGCACACGCACATGCTTGCGAGGACTCCCCAAGCCCTTCCCCAACCTGACTGGAGTCATGAACCGCCCTTGTCTGCGAATGGGAGCCGGGACTTGACAGCCAAGTCTTGATGAAGACTTTCCCGGGGCCGTCTATCCACTCTCGAATATTATCGGGCAACTTCGTACGAAGCATTTCACGTGCTGCACCGCAGGGATCCGCAAGGCACAATGCATCCGCTACGAGCCATATGAGAAGGAAAAAGCAACATGAAGTTTGAAGCCGGAACAGCATGGAGCATAAGAGATGCAGTCAATGCGCTGCTACAACAGAGTCTCCAGTCACGAGAATGCTGTGACAGGGTGCAGTTCTAACTGATGCTAGCTAGTAGCCTCTGGATTTGCAACAGCAAGAACTTTCGCATCATTCTGCGCCACCATACTGAGAGTCTGCCGAAATGTATGCGCATGGATGAACGCACATGAAACCACAAAAGGATGGCTGTTGATCCTGGGAAGTCTTTTTTGAGGGGCTCGCGGAGGTTACGGTTAGGGTTTAGGGATTATAGGGTTTCGGGTTTGGGAGTTGAGGGCTTAGGCCTGAGGTGTTGGGCTCTACATCTTCGTGGCTTTGAGGATTTACATAAGGGGTTGAACCCTAAACCCTAAACCCTAAACCCTAAACCCTAAACCCTAAACCCTAAACCCTACCTTTGAGGATTGAGGCTTCAGGGTGTAGGCCTTCAAGCTCAGGCTTGGGGTCTCTTTCGCTTCAGGGTTTTAGACCCCAAAACCCTCAACCCCCCCAAAACTCAAAGCCCCTACGCCCTAAGCCCTAAACCCCTAAACCCTAAACCCCTAAAGTCTAAACCCCTAAAGTCTAAACCCCTAAAGTCTAAACCCCTAAATCCTAAAACCTCAGCCGTAGAGGGCTCGGGGGGTTGAGGTGTCAAAGGAGCCACAGGGAAGCAACCTGTCAACCTACCATAGTCCTTTTAACTGCTCTTTGCCCGGTCCACCAAAAAACAGTTGAAAGTCCGGGCTGGGATCTGTATTTAAGCTTGGCCCAAACTCCGTGCAGATCTCGCCACGCTGCAAATTCCTAAGACCCAATAAACACTTCGTCCATGGACCCTAAACCCTAAACTGTATGGAAGGTTCCAGAGCTCCCAGAGTAGAGGGGGCTGCTAGAGCGGTTCACAAGAGGGTTCCTAAAGTGGTAACTATACGGGTTACGGCGACTGCAAGGGTTTAGGGATTAGGGTCTCATCGTGGAAATCCGATGTTCAAGGTTGTGCTTCAGGAGGGATACATTACGGAAAGGACCCACTTCTGCCAAAGGTGTTTCGCCCTAAACCCTAAACCCAAAAAACCGCTCGAAGCACTGAGATCCAAGCGCAACATAATAATTACCTGCCTAATTACTCACCTTCCTCCTCGGGGCTTCCTACCATTAGTATGCAGTACTATATCCCGAAGCTCTCTTCTGCGAGGAACTGTTGAAAACTCTGAGCACCGTGCAACCACTGCAGGTGCTGCGATCAGCGTTGTTAATCGTGTTGCAGAGCCGACACCGCCAATCAACTCAGTCAGGGCCATATGGAACCAACATTTATTGACGGATTACTTGCTCTGGTCGGCTAGGCCCTTGCTTGCTCTCTCTCTCTCTCTCTCTCTTTTCCGCTTGCTGGGTTGACCGTCTCGGGCTAAAAACAACAAGCACTCCACAAATCCTTAACTAGAAAAGGTAGGTTGGCCGGACAACAATGTGCTCGTGGCCTCGTTTTCGTTATTGTCGCGATGACGCGGCGAGAGTGTGATTCGGGGGATTCCGCTGTGGAACTCTGAAACATAGTAGTGCAGACCACTGCTTCTGCTGATGGGGCGCTGGGGTAGATTATAGGTTAAAGTACAAGTGACATGGACGGAATCCAAATTGCATGGGTCCACGTTAAAAAGTTTGGCATCATCTCTTTCTGCGTGCCGATTTACATTCTGCAGAATAACTGTCCGAAGAAAATACAGATTCAGACATACGATTTCTTCAAGTTCCCTAATACGAGTATAATACGACTGAGATCCCAAGAGTTATATTCTGTTCCCTAAACCCTAAACCCTAAACCCTAAACCCTAAGAGTTATATTCTGTTTGATAAGGCCCCTAGAGTAAAGGTGGCCCTGTCCCAAGCTCACGTCCGAGGTACAGGAGGATCCTCTGCTGGAACTGTGCCGGTCACTCCCAACGCACCAAACATCATGAAACTAGCCCGGTTTAGGGTTTAGGGTTTAGGGCTTCGGGTTTCGGGTTTAGGGTTTAGGGTTAAGGGTTTAGGGTTTAGGGTTTTGGGTTTCAGGTTTAGGGTTTAGGGTTTAGGGTGCCCCAGCTCAACATAATAAGGGACAGGGTTCTGATCGCCGACATCATCCACATCGTAGCACCAAAGACAACAACCGCACACAAGGAGAACGACTGCTCCAACCACACACGAAAGAACCCCAATAAAAGCTAGTAGCCATGACCATGATAACAGCGATAACAAACACCGCCAAATTTCAGCGACAACAAATACTGCCGAAATTCGACTCTTGCAGCTTCTCCTCCGAAGGTGAGGCTTAGAGTATAAAGCGACCACGAATAGAGATCCTCTAACAAGGAGTCACATTATTGAAAACTCTGAGCCCTAAAACCCTCAAGCCCCCACGCCGCCACCGTAAACCCTAAACCCCGGCAAAAACGGTAGCCCAGAGGCGGTCTGTGAAGCCCTCTGGGACGCTTTCCTTGGCGGCGGGTCTGCCAGAGAAGCCTTCCTGTCAGGATGATGAGGGTTTAGGGTTTAGGGTTTAGGGTTTAGGGTTTAGGGTTTAGGGTTTAGGGTTTAGGGTTTAGGGTTTAGGGTTTAGGGCTTTGGATTGCGAAGGCTTTTTGATAAGGGCTTGTGGGGGTTATGAGGAGTCCTATAGGGCGTGTGAGGGTTGCTATACAGGTTTAGGGGGGGCTTCTATAAGAGTGTTTGAGATGGCTCAAAAGGGTTTGCCAGGTTTTGGAAGTTCGAAAATTTTTAGGGCTTTAGTCTCGAGTTTCGGGTTTGCGTGAGGGCTTCGGATTTCGGGACATGCTCGAACTGCGGGTTACAGATTTGGGACCAATGCTAGACATTTGCAAAATTCCAGCTTCGGATGAAGACAGGGCTGGGCACCTCACAAGTAGGCTAGGGGTTCGGAGTTCGCGATTGAGGGCGTCACGTTTAGGGGTGTGCGGTTTAATGTGGGGGCCTTCATAATTACCAACACTATTTTGGTGGGTTCCTGATTACAATAACAGTATAATATACCCCCCCCCAAGCCCTATTCTAATTACTAAGGCCCCTATATTAGCAGGTTCAGGGTTGCCATGTCATCTACCAGGAAAGGTCATAGCCTTAACTTGGACACACGGCCCGAATAAACAGCTCAAACCCCGGACCCAAACACCCACAAGCTTCACCGACGGCGCAACTGAATAAAGGATGTTGTATAGGGGGCTTGACTGTTAGGAGGGAGTTTGAGGCTTCATTATAAGACCAATGCAAAAAGGAGCCCTGGGGAATAATGTTTTGCATCATCTAGGCTTCTACAAAGCAAGGCATGCCAAGTATCATCAGCGGTTGCGGGTTCAGGGCTTGGTTTAGGGGCAACCATCGCGACCCCGCGATGTCGCAACTGCAAGGATCCTGCACATCAGGCTGGCGGTGGACGCTTTGGCCATGGTGGTGATGATGACTGCTATTGTGACGAAGATGAGGACGACGGCAGTGGCGATATTTTTGTATATGTTGATACTGGTACCCATGACATGGTGTTGAGAACGCTGGGAACAGCTAAACGTCTTCACACCCTGGAATGCGAAGTTAGACTAAGATCTCAGCTCTGTTCTAAACTTACTTGGCTTCGCTTAGGTCTCTTGAAGTGCAGCACCTTCCTGAAAGAGGTTGTCCCGAATGCAGATGACTAAACTGGGCTTTGCCTCAGTCCAGTCCCCCCAGTCGTCCATGTCCTGCGCCAGCGGAAGATACGTTAAACAGGAACCTTATGGTTGTCAGGAATGGTTCTTTCAGGAATTCGTAGTACTGGGACTGCTGATACCAAGGAGTAATGATTCTTGTTGCTCGTAGTGGTACAAGTAGTAGTAGTAGTAGTAGTAGTAGTAGTAGCAGCAGTAGTAGCAGTAGTAGTAGCAGTAGTAGCAGAAAAGGGAAGAAGACTGGTCGCACGAAGACAGTACCCAAACCTTTGCTCAAACGGTGCATGTCGCTCCGTTCCTCCTCCTTGGACCACGATGAATCCCCGGGCTTCGACATAGCTTGCACTTTCTTCTCCATCTCCTGATAGGGCCAGGGTTTAAGGTTTAGGGTTCAAGCTTTAGTGTGCAAGCGTGAGGTATTTTCTTCAGGGCTTAGGGTACCACCAACGTTCCCGATGACGCTCTTAGTTTGGCCCTGCTACTTTTTTGTGCCACTATGAGAATGATAGCGACTTCTGCTGACGCTATTGGTGCTGCTTGATAGCCATGCTGCTCGTAGTAACCATCGTAGGTAGAAGTCAACGATCAGTCGGGGCAGTAGTAGTAATAGTAGTAGTAATAGTAGTAGTAGTAGTAGTAGTAGTAGTAGTAGTAGTCGTAGTAGTAGTAGTAGTAGTAGTAGTAGTAGTAGTAAGTAGGTAGTTGTCAGTCGTACTAGTAGAAGTAGTACTAGTACTAGTAGTACTAGTAGTACTAGTAGTACTAGTAGTACTAGTAGTACTAGTAGCACTAGTAGTACTAGTAGTACTAGTAGTACTAGTAGTACTAGTAGTACTAGTAGTACTAGTAGTACTAGTAGTACTAATAGTAGTAGTAGTAGTAGTAGTAGTAGTAGTAGTACTAGTAGTAGTAGTAG